ATGTTGGAAGAAAGACACGGAGACATAACTCCGAACAACATAGTTGGGATAATTCGTACTCCGCTGCAAACGAGAGGACGGTTGTCTACTGAGGACACCCGAATGAAACGCCCCTACAAAAGAGCAGCCCCAAGGCTCTAACAGCGCGCTCCTGCATCTGAAGACATGCAGAATTGCGGTGCCAGATGCGGGATTCTTGCGCGGGCGGTGGGAGTTTGGGTTTTAGTGGGTAGCCCAACACGCTTCGGTGGGAGTACCACACTCGGGGAAGGTAGTATAGAGACTAGCGCCCCCGGCCAGAGCATAAAGCATTTCCCTCTCCTACGACAAAAAAAAAAAAATAATAATAATAATAATAGATTGGCGCTTACACAGATGTTAGTGTTTGGCCGAGCTTCTTCACCGATTTTAGCGTGCGCCTTAATGGAGGGACCTACAGTTTTACGCCGACTCCGAACGGCGATTGTGGCCCCTATTATGAGTTAGATTCGATCTTCGACTGTGGTCGAAAGTGCTGATCGAACGAATTTTCATTTGGTATTATGGCGCTCATTCGATGAATTATAGCGCTGTTGTGAACTTCGCTCGTTTATGTTGTTCACAATAGTATATTTTTCACCGCTGAGAAGCTTTGTTTACAAATCGAGCAAACTAAATAGTGTGCTTATACATATTTATGTAAATTTGTGCAAATTAAAATGAAATAAAAAAGAAAGCAAGTTTATAAAAACGTGGTAAAAATTAGTACATCGAATTTCTGGTGTTCAACGATTCGTCAGAGGATGAGAGTTTAGTGAACTGACCAGGAGTAGTAAATGTTTAAGAGAGTTTAAGTGTAGTCTTTACAATATATTGTGGCATAAAATATATTTAAGAAATTTATTTACAGATTTACTAAAAACTTCCGACTGTCTAAAGAGGCGTTTGTGAGCCAAACCTATTTAAAATATTTTCAAACTATCCACAGCTCTATGATTTGTTCTCAGAGATCGTGCCAACTGAGTATTGGGATTTTCTTTCACGAGTAAAAGCAGCCTTTCGAGCTTGTGTTTTGTATTCTCGACGTTAAAACTGCATGAAATTGATAAAAAATTGTTTAAAATTAGTGTCTACCCACCAAAAAGTAAGAAAACAAATGCAAAATCATACATTTTTCACAATTTTCTAACACTTCGCTACACCATCGAAAGCAAAATTCTGTTCGACAGAAAATTCGATACTCAACGAAAATTTCTACACGGTTTCATAGCACATAATACGAATTGCACTTTCGATGTTCAATAACCAGCGAAGATCGAAAATCGAATGCAACTCATAATAAGGACCTGTATTTTTATGAGAAGCTGTTTTTCATGGCAGAAATACACTCGGAGGTTTGCCATTGCCTGCCGAGGGACGACCGCTGTTAAGAAAAAACCTTTTTCCATATTTTTCGGGATGTTGCTTTGACCAGGGCTTGAACCCAGGTGCTGATGTATGAAAGCGCGCACTGCTTACCACTACACCACAGCGGCCGACAATGCAATATTTTAGCTGCTATTAATTTTGCACAGAAAAAGTAATAATTTGACCTAATGTGCAACAGAAGAAAAGTGTAAGGAAACAAAATTGTGGGCAATTGAAAATAATATTTCACAGGCGGCACTGACCAAATTGCTTTGTGTACTCAAATGATCTACCTTTGTGTGCGAAGACTCTTCTCCAAACTAATAAAAATAAAACACCAATTCAGTCAATTGCTGGAGGAGAGTTTATATATATTGGCATTCAAAAGTACTTTGCATCCGATTCGTTTACGTTTTTAAATGAACAAAATGAAGTTTAAATAGACGTCGGAATAGATGGTTTAAAATTGTTTAAGAGTTCCAACAAAGTTTTGTGGCCAATTTTGGGTTCAATTGTTGGACATCCATCGAAAATCCTTTCACTATTGCCTGCTTCTCAGGAAAACAAAAGCCAGATAACGTAAATCATTTTATGAAAGAATTTTGTGAAGAAATAGCTTATTTGAGAGAAAATGGCTTGAAAGTTGGTATGTTTAACACCACATTCAAAAAAAATTTAATATCCGTATTTTTACATTATTTTTATAACTAGTGTTCAAGGTCACAAATGCAGTCAAATCGGCAGCTATGTAAATAAGAGAGCGTGCTCTTCTAGACACACAAGTGACCTAAGAACAGATATGTCTTTTAAAAATAGAGTAGATAAAGCCCACCACAATTTTAAATTTTTACAACACCAAAATATACTTCAATCAAGAAATTTTGGAATGGTTTCTCAATTACCCTTGGATCCTATGCACCTTATCGACTTAGGTGTGACTAAAAACTGTTAGATCTGTTACTCAAAAAAGGAAATATTACCCAAATGAATGAAAAATTTTATTTCGTTTCTCATTGGGTACCATGTGAGTTCGGAAGGGTGTGTAGAAATTTAGATGATATCGGGGATTGGAAGTCCACAGAGCATAGGCAATTTTTGTTATATTCGGGAATATTCGTTTTAAAAAATAGTATTGATGACGATTTATTTTATCATTTTATTTTATTGCATGCCAGTATACGCATTCTCTTTTGTGAAAGGTCCTACAAAACTGAAACCAATATAGTAAAAGGATTATTGCAAGATTTTGTTAGTTTGTTTGGAAATATTGCGATCATTTGATAAGTTTTGATATTCATGGCCTTCTTCATTTACCTGATTGTGCTAAAGATTTCGGACCATTAGATTCTTTCACCGCCTATAAATTTGAAAATTTTATGCAACGTATGAAAAAAATTATAAAAAGTCCCACTAATATATTACAGCAACTATTTTTAAGACTCGAGGAAAGAAAAAGTTTAGAACAAAAGCAATTAAAAATTGGACAATTTTCGATTAATCCTAAGAAAGAAAAAGACTCCTTTTGGTTTAGCGAAATCACAGGACCTTTTAAAGTTATAGAGTCGCGTTTAGAATCGGGAGAAGAGATACAGTTTTAAAGAATTAAGTAATTACTTCAATGAACCCTTTGAATATTTTTCTTCTCTTGGTATTTTACTTGCAAGTGGACTGGTTAACGAAAAAAGAAAAATTTTCAAAAGTATTATTCAGTGCAAATATTTTTGTGTTCCATTTGAAAATAAATTTATCTTAATTCCCCTTCTTCACCACCTCTTTCACGACTTTTCGTACTAGTTATGTTTTTCGTTAAATTGCTTAACTGTGGAAACGTCGAAGATAACGTGTACCACACATTCTTCACCTGCGAACACTTCTTGATTTCGCGCAGAATGTTGGAAGAAAGACACGGAGACATAACTCCGAACAACATAGTTGG